CCATCTAAAGTGCCTCCCTGCTACTAGTTCTCCGTCTTTATCTTTCTCCTGAGGTAGAAACGATATATGACAGTATAAAAATAATATAACTCAAATATATATATAAAGGCTTTAATTTTGCCTAGGAATTGGCAGGCTTGAACATATATTTTATCAAATAAATAACTTGACTTTTACAAAACAAATCACTATTGTTTCTTTCACCTGACTTCATATACCTCAGAATTGTACTAATTTATACACCTCTAGGAACTTTAGCATACCACGTTGGCCCTGTCTATCTAAAGTGCCTCCCTGTTACTAGTTCTTCGTCTTTATCTTTCTCCTGAGGTAGAAACGATATATGACAATATATTTATATTTAAATTTATATTTAATTTGGATAAGTTATATTGAGTTGTATATATTGAGAAAAATTTCAAATAATTTTGGGTATCACTATATATTGTTTTAAAATTTCTTTTCAATATTAGTTTATGATTGCTATAAGCAAGCTAGCATTTAACTCATTGTACTATTACATATGAGAAATATTGTTTTTTTACAATATATATTTATTATTATATAAATTAAATAAAGAAATAATATTTATCTACAAAAAAAAAATAAAACAAACTTTTAATTCAAAAAATTCAAATATAATTTCTTTATTTATAAATAATTTTTTTTTACATAGGTAAACTTTATCTCTTTATTTTCATAAAAATTTTAAATTATTTTACATGTAGAAAGTGACAACATCCCTCACATGACCAATTGATCAGTGAGTCTAATGCTAGCTTGCCTACAGAAATTATCTAAGCAACATGGAAAATAAATATTAAAACCGATGTATATCCTAAATAGTGCTGAGCAGCTATGAATATCTACTTAGGTTTATATATGAGACTATAAGAAATTGAGAATTGAAAAAAAAAGAAAATACTAAACAAAAACAAAAAAAATAAGTACAACAACACTAATTGTGAAGCTATGGATGTTTCAGATAAAATCACTAGGCATGCCATGCTAGTAGTTCCATTTAACTGAAGTACTGTTACACTTTCAGAAATGGTCAGGTTACTGTCCAAAGTGTACAATAGTATTGATGGTATATATTTTTGGTAGATAATTAGTTGTGATGATGGTATTGTTGTTATAGTGATATAATTTGTAATTGTTTTGTTAGTGATAGGATTTTGTTTTGGTTGTTGTCACTATAAAAGATTTTGTTTACATTAATCAGAGTGAAGTGTTTTAATTGTACGGATTTGTTTGGAAAATTAATAGTATTTGATTGGTTAAGTTTGGAATGTTGATCAATTGATAGGAGTAAACTGAATGTGGTTTTTTGGTGAAAAATTTTTTGAGTAAGATTTTTTGGTTTTTGATAATGCAGCAAAATATGCTGGGTGATAGTGAGAAGTAAATATTAAATATATTGTTGGTGTTCCAAGTCAACAATATAAATAATTTTAATATGAAGTCTGGTTTTTTGAGATAAAAGGAAGTTCTTCAAGCAGAAAGTATAATTATTTAAAAAGATTTGTGTATTGTTAAGAAAAGAAAATGGGAAGAACCCCAAGGAAGATTTATAAAGAAGTAACTGCCATAGGCCTTTCCTCATGCAATCCAAAGAAAAAGCAAGGTCTTCAAACTTGCTTTTCTCTGGCTAGAGGTCTCATTTTGATGTACCAGTGTACTTCTTTAATTTCCTTAAGGCTTTTGTAGTGAAGAAAGAGAAAGTGTAAAGGACTTTTGGGTATTGGAAGGAGAAAAAAATATTTGTTTCTTTAATTTTGAAAAAAAATTACTATAAAAAGAAATTTTTAAGAAAAAAGTTATGTATGGGAAAGAGTTTTTTTTTTTATTTATAAATAATTTTTAAAAAACAATAATAATAAATGTTATTATTTTTAAGATTATATAAACTTTATTTTGATTTTAAATTATTTAAATTAATAATATTTATTTTTTAAAAACTTGATTATATTATCATATCCAATGCCATCAGAAATACATTTTTGTAAATAACTTCAAAATCAAACTAAGTAATCCTAATCTTTCACTCAGTAATCTGCTACAAGTCCTCTTCAATCTTCTTCACTGGTGCCTTTCCAATTGTGAAATCGAAATAAGAAACAGTAAAAAAATACTTCAGGAAACTTCCAACTATCCTAGAAAAATAACAAAAATCAATTTCTCTTCAATTATTCAGAAAATTAACAAGATGATATTTAAGAAAATGATTTTCTTTACTTATTCCAGCCCCAAGTCAAATCCAAGAGCCAACAATATTTTAATAATTTTAATGAGGTTTTATTTGTAATCGATTTTCAATACTAAATTTAAAATATATTTGTAGATAAAATTTATATTATTGTAATCATTAGATTTAAATTTTATTTTAATATATTTTTTAATAATATTCATGCAGTAGTTTTTGAATAACAGATAAATAAAAAATTCCAAAAAATTTTGCAACACACTGTAAATTTACAGCAGACAATTTTAATCTTCTCTCATCTTCTTCTATTAATGTCCATTCCTCTTCTTGAAAATTTTATGATTAAATATTATATTTTAAAGTAAAAACTTTTATTAATCCTTTTATTAATTTTAAAAATAAATATTTCAAGAGATTATTCTAATATATTTTCTATAATGTTAAATAAAGGTACCGAACAAAGTATAAAAAAATCTCTGCAAAGCCCTACGTGCTATATCTTATATTCAATTCAACACTAGTCACGATCACGGAAAACACTGTCTGTTAACCGATCGACCTGCAATACAGGCATAAATTTTTATTAATACAAATAATGGTTGATCGTTTCATCGAATAAACTTTAAGAATTTGAAAAATTTTTAATAGGTTTCAAACAGTCCTGTATATCTAGCATACGTTGCGCAATAATATTTTGGTACTGTATTGTTTATCTTCTCATCAATAAATAATTTGTTATCTGATAACGTACAGTCAATGAAACCAAGTAATCATACAACTACCGATATAAATGATACATGCGGCTGAAATTATTTTTCTATGATTGCGTTTTGTGACTTAATTAATTATGTTAAATGACTACGAATTCCTGATGCATGTACATTTCTCCAATGATTGCGCGTAATTTAAAGAATCTTAACATTTTAGCTACTTATTATTTCTATATTTGAACCCATTTTTTCCGTGAATGACTTTGTGCATATCGGTTGACGTAGTAAAATTCAGACTATTTATGCATACTGTACTGTATATATTAGCTTTGAGTGTGAACACGATTCGTGCTAAATTCTCTTTGCAAGATATCATTTTTTCACTTAGACATGGATAATTCTATATCGATAGATTTTGCAAATTTACTTAAAAATCCCGAAGGTTATAACGTAAAAATCATAGTTGGTGAAGGACTAGACGTTAAAGAATTTAAAGCACATTCTTTAATTTTAACCAACAGATCAACTTATTTTAAAAGTGCACTATCTTCACGATGGGCGAAGGTAGAAAATGGAATAATCATTTTCAAAAAACCCAATATCTCGCCTTTGATATTCGAAGTTCTTTTAAAGTAAGCTTATTTCTATTGACTATACAAAAACGATTTATAAACCTAATTTGTTCTACAAACAAAATATAATAGATATATTTATACGGGCGATATTTCCGTTGAAAACAATGAAGTCAGTCTCGCTGATATTGCTATAGCGAGCGACGAACTCTTATTGTTTAAGGTCTATCAAAAGATTGAAAGAAATTTGCTTGAGGATGAATTGGCTTGGAAGCCAAGAGACATTATTAGAATTTTTCAGCACGAGCACTTTACTAACTTATATAATATCGCAATAAAATTGGCATGTAAAAATCCAGAAATTATTTTTAAATCGGAAGATTTCTTTAGAATTAAAGAAACGCACCTCATTAATCTTTTGAAATGTGATGACCTTGAATTGGATGAGATTGAAATTTGGGGATACTTAATTCAATGGGGAATCAAAAATGCCACTTCCATTTTAGACGATGATTTAACAAGGTGGACGCCGGGGAATTTCATGGACTTAAAGAATACACTGTGTAACTGTATTCCTCATATTCGATTTTTTCAAATGTCCCCTGGTGACCATACGAAAGTTAGAACTCATTTTAAAGATATTCTACCAGATGGTCTAGATAATGAAATTACTCAATATTTTTCGGATCCTAATTTTAAACCTTCCATCAACATTTTACCGTTAAGGAAATGTTTATTCCAATCAAATATCATTAATGCTAAAGATGCAGGACTAATAGCAAGCTGGATTGATAAGCGAAAAACGCCGTACCATCATATAAATTTGCCTTTTAAATTTAAGCTTATTTATCGTGCTAGTCGTGATGGTTTTGAGATCGAACGTTTTCATAAGAATTGTGATAATAAGGGACCAACCCTGGTTGTTATTAAAGTACGCAATTCATTAGAGATAATTGGAGGATACAATCCATTAGAATGGCATTGTGTTAGCGTTGAAGATTCTATACTTGATGAAGATGATTATGATCATCAATATAAAACATCAAATAGTTTTATATTTTCACTTACAAACCCATCAGTTCCAATATTAAGCCGGGTTTCTTCTAAAAAAGAAGCGATAATTTGGTGTAGGAATAAAGGACCATGCTTTGGTTTACACGATTTGCACATTAATTCATCGGGATCTAATATTTTTTGCGAGAGTAGAAAATACTCTTACGAAAAGAATGTTATTAACAAAGAAATTTTTCAAATAGAAGAATACGAAGTATTTCAAATTATTGACGAGAGGTTTTCCCAACGTGTTAATAGAATATTTCAATTATTTGTGGATTTTTTTATGGGAATTTTTTATTTTATCATGCGGCTGTTTATGTTAATGCTTTTGATAATTTTTAAAATTATAAATATTACTATTAGAACGACAACATTTCTTTTTTTATATTTTTTGTATTATTATATAGTATTACTTTTTCTCACGGTTCCTTTTTTATTAGGATGCTGGTGTTTCCATTACATAGAATATCATGATATTCTTGGAGTTAGTTTACTGGCATTTGCAACATCCACTTTTGGATTTATAATCTATCAATTTATAGCTCAACTTATTTATTTGTGCTTTCGTTATATAACCACAGAATTTCTTTTCTCTGGTGACTTTTTTGACCATTGTGTTGGATCCTGAATATAGGCATTGTCAACACACCGTCTTTAAAATCCCAGTAATTTGTATTCCGTCAAGTATAGTTGTTTTTATTGAAGAATATAATTACTGTATTTTTGTCGACTTTTGTTTCAGAATATAAAAAATTCGAGGCTCCTTTCATACAGTCAAAAAAGAAGCGTATTCGATGGAATATGATCATTTTTGCGATATATTTTCTACTAATTTGGATTGTGTACAGTACATATTTTATTTGAATATTAAAAAAAACTTTATTTTATTTTAAATTATATAACTGCTACTTATGAGTCGAAGAAAAAACAAAATTACCATGTAAAATAATGTAATAAAAAAAATGAATTCGTATTTCATTTTTCTACGGGTTCGTAAGAGGTTTGTATTTTATATATTTCTACGGTTTTGCGAGAGATAAAAAAATCAATGAAAAGTGAATTCGTATTTTGTCATGTATTGCGGCTTGTCATTTAGTCTACCGTTCAACCGTTAGCCATAAATACAGTACTGTATATGATGTTACAAATTGGGTCTTGATAGTTATGACGTTATTATGAATCATCAATGCTTAATTTCTTCACCGCCCGATTCCTAACTGGATTTTTTTAAAAAAAAATAATAAGGAATGATCGACTACAAGATCTGCTTGATAATGGACTTCTCGTCTTTTTAAAATTGAACAGAGTTAAATTGGAACCAAAGTCTTGTAACTTAGGTAAACTTGCTTCATGATTTGTTTTTCAACATTATAATATGCTGCGGTTCATTATGTATGACCACAATTGTGTTTTTTTCAAAAGTCATCAAATATAAAATAATAAATGATATAGAGTATATTTTAAGGTTATAAGGTAATATGTTAGTACAGTATGCTGTAATACGGAATAAAGAGAATTAAACAAAAAAGAAATTGACCGAGAATAGATGGAAATCAAGAAAACACAGAATAGCTTGTTAACAATAATTTAGGCAGTCACAATTAAATATCGCAATAGCAGCGTAGCACTAGTCCATTGTTTTTCATCGTAGTAATAAATTGAATCCAATAAATTTAGCCGTGCATATCGTAACTCATTTAGGTTCAAGTCCCAAAGTCAGGCCAAAACCTGACCCACCGTTAAATATTTGAGCAAGATATTTAAAATATGCAGGATATAATAAAGTCGATTATTTAACCATTAATACAGTAATTAGCTAATAGCTTCGAAAGTCACATTACCACATACGTGTATATAAAAGATCATATCCAATGATTATAGCTTACTAGATAATAATAACACAATTACAGTAACCAAACAGATCGGAGGATGCAACCTTTACGCCGGTAACGATGAGAGTAAAAATTGTAATTATATTACTAAACCGCAAGTAGTGTGTAAGGTTTTTCCGTGTCACACACAACGTCACCTCATATAAATAAAATGCTTCGTAATACATTACTGTACCAGATAAAATACTGGTTACCGACGTAATACACATTGTATGTTATTAACATTGACCTTTTCCCTCAAATAATTAAATGAAATAGTATGTTCGACAAGAATTACAAAGAGGGAAAGACTCACTTGATAAATGCTAGAATACAAAAATCTAATGATTATCTAAATGACGCATTAGATTCTTATTATAAAGCAATTAGAGCATTTAATGCTCAAGGAGCCTCTCTATTTCATGACGTAAATAGACGATTGGCTGAAGCTTATGTAGAATGTGGTAATGTCCACAAAAGTTTAGGAGAAATGGATATTGCAGATGCTTGCTATAAAGAAGCTCAAAAGTATGAACCGAAGTGCAATGAATCATTGATCAAATCTGAAACATCAAAAGATTCCTTACAACCAGAAAACATATCCAAGGAAAACTATTATACCAATTTCAATGTTTCATCAACCTCTTTAATAAAGACAACAACATCAACCTTTGTATCAAAATCGGAGTTTTTTACTCAAGACCCACAGGTAATATTCAAGCCGCATTCGAAGATGGATGAAATTCACAGCACTCGGGATCTAGCCTATTATCTGCAGCCCAACAATCATGCTCTGGAACAAAGGCAACAATTAATTGATTTGGCTCTAGAAACCATTGAACTATTTGCTCAGAAAAAAATTAAAACAAAAGAGATCATTTATGAAATAATTGCATTATCATCCATACCTGATAAAAAAATTTACGAAGAATTATTGGAACTAAGTATTCAGACTATCAACAGCACAAAGTTGCAACATTCTGAATATCTATTTTGCTTAACACAAGTGATTCAGAATATGCCTGATTCGCTTTTGATTAGCGGCGAAGTTGGTACAGGAAATTTAGTGACCATATTAAGAATCTTACATGCCAAACTAGAAGTTCTGCATAAGCAAGATGAGAATCAGCTCTGCGAACTATTAGAAACAATTTGTCCATTATTAGATGCCATGGTACGAGTGGGCGTTAAAGATATCAGTCGTGAAAAATTGCATGCTCCATTATATCAACTGTTTAAAGAGTTGAAAGACAATCCGGCGTTATCATATTATGCTCACTATGCCTGTCAGGCATTGCTATACATCACAAGTGATGAAAAATTCTGGCAAGGTGTCATGCGTCGAACTTTTAAAGTGGCTTCTGGGACTATGAATTTAATTGGCGCAATTAGAAGTTTGGATCCAAATAGATTAATGGATACCTTTAAAGACTTTGTTGAAGCATTTGAAGGCGTTGATGAGATCGTAAGTCGTGTTCAAGAATTAGTTGAGGCAGACCAAGCATTACAAGAAGGAATGAAAGATATTTATCTGGGAATGGAATTTGGGCGGAAAAGGCAGTGGTATTTGGCTCTGAGATTTATAGATATATTTATTCAAGAAAATCAGTTGATAAAACTCGAACAATTTGTTCGGCAGAGCTCCTATAATAAGGACAAATGGTTTTTAATAGGACTGAGCAAACGTCTAGGACAGATTGCCTGTGCACATCAAGATTTAAACGTGCAGCAAGGAGCGGTTAATTTTTTAGATGATATTTATCAAAATCAAACCCAGTGGTATCAACATTCAGAAGTAAAAAAATGGGTATTGGTGACTTTACGACATTTGGCGTACCAAAATGACAAAAACTTGCAATGTTATGCTAAGAAAATTCTTGGCATTTTGGAACCTGATGAAGATACTCATGGATGTGATACATACATACATAATATTTGGAATTCTGTTGAACAACCTGACTTTAATTCCAGATTGTTAATTGAGGCTCGTCTTAGGTTATCACAGAATTCGTCGTCAAATGCCATCAAATCGTTAGCACCGTTAGGTAAAATTAAAGAATATTTAAATGAACTTGAACAAGACAAAGAAATTAAAAATGCATTGGATTTGTATGTACCGCCAAAAGGAAAATGGGCTCTAAATTCCACGCACCTTTTTGATTTAGAGTCTGAGGTTGATGCCTTTTTAGCTTCAGAAAAAAAGGTATTATTACTCCTAGGTGAAGCTGGAGCAGGAAAATCTACTTTTAACTGTCACCTTGCTCGGCGTTTTTGGGCCAATTATTCTTCGGCGGATGAGCTAAACAATAAACCTATTCCCTTATATATTTCGCTTCCAACCATAGATAATCCTAATGAGAGAATAATTCAAAAATATTTAAAGGAGATAGGTTTCTCCGAGGAAATTATTGAAAACTTAAAACTAGAGTGCAAATTCGTTTTTATACTGGATGGGTATGATGAGATCAAGGACCGTCGGTTAAATTTTTATGTCACCAATAAACTTCACGAGTGGAAGAAAGCAAAATTTATAATTAGCTGTCGACCAGAATATTTGAGTAGAAACTATCAAAAGAAATTTATTCCAAATCATAATCTCAAGCTTTTTCAGGAAATATGGATAGCGCCCTTTTCTAAGGAAGAAATTCGAGAATACATAAGAAAGTACGTCAAAAAGCAAACAGACATCGAGCGAAAGACATCATGGGATGTGCATGGTTATGAAGACGTTTTAAAGCGCATCCCACATTTGGATCAGTTACCAAGTAATCCTTTTATTTTAAAGATTGCCATGCAAGTTGTGCCAAACTTTAATCGACAAGAAAACGAGAACTCTGTAAAAAGAATAACACGTTTAACCTTATATAACGAATTTGTGGAAAAATGGTTTGAACGATCTCAAGATCGTTTAAGTCGCATACAATTAGATGATGAAGAAGAAAAGACTTTTAAATACTTAGACGAATATGATTTTATACAACACTGTATTCAATTTAACAAAGACTTGGCAACTGAGATGTTTAAGGCTAATGAAATAGTGATAGAATATTCAGCCGTCGATCACACAGACTGGCATGGTAGATTCTTCGGGTATAAAGATCCGGAGACACGACTTTTGCGTTACAACTCTCCTTTAAGTCGCAATGGGGATCAATATCGATTTATTCACAAATCTTTATTTGAATATTTTGTTTCCCGATCAATTTTTGAGGCTATTTGCAGAGAATCAGAATCTACAATATTTGAAGAAAATTTAATACTACGTGAACCCGAGATTGTTCGCTTTCTGATCGAATATGCACAACAAGGTGGAGGTACGAAAGATACACAAGAGGCTAAAAGATTCAAAGAAAATCTTTTTTACTTTATTGAGAAATCAAAAGACAACGCTAATTATGAAAACGCCGCAGCAAACGCAATCACAATTTTAAATAAATCTGGAATGGTCTTTAGTGACATGAATCTAAATGGAATTCATATTGCCGGTGCAGATTTAAGCTATGGCGTGTTCGACTATACTCAATTCAAAGATTCAAATTTGAGAAATGTTAATTTTCATGGGGCATGGTTGCGGTATACAGATTTCAGCAATG